AGAGGCTGAGGTGGAAGGACCACTGCGAGGCCTGCCTGGGCTACACAGCATGTTAAGGATGGCCTGATCTGCCTAGTAAGAACATGTCTCAAAACACAAAACAAAACAAAACAAAAGTTAAACTGGGTGTGATGGCACGCGCCTATAATCCCAGCACTTAGGATGCTGAGGCAGAAAAATCACTGCATGTTTGAGGCTAACTGGGGCTACATAGTAAATTCAAGACCAGACTAAACTACAGAGGAAAAAAGTGTCTCAAAAAAGATTTTTTAAAGTTTATTTACAATATATAAAATTTCAAAACAGAAATGCTGCTTTGACAAAGTCCTTTCACAGCAAATCTGTAAATTTTGTGAGAAGGCTAAACCAATTTTAAAATGTTAGATAATGCAAAGAAAGGCCAAGGATTTACCTCAGTGGTGCCACTACCTGCCTTGCAAGCACAAGGTCCCAAGTTCGATCTCCAATACCCCCCAAAAAAAGCAAAGAAAACGTATAGGAAGGAAAAATGAGATGCATTTTTTTTACCTAGTAACTTTAGCTTACTTTAGTGTATGAAGCCTACTTTTAAAAACACAAAGAACTAAACTATTTTAGCCAAGGAGGACAAATTTAAACAGTCAAATAGGTTACTGTAATCCCTGAAAATACAAAGTTGACCAAAAAGTACAAGTAATTCATAAAGAGAAATACAAATAGCCAATGAACTATGAGAAATGGTGGATAAAGAACTGAATTCAAACATATTACCATTTTATACTAAGCAGCAAAAATGAGCCAAAACTTGAACACACATGGCTTGGGGGGACAGAGAGCATACACTCTGAGAAAGTCCCGTGGGCAAGCTCTAAGGACAATCTGGCCACAACGTACCAAGGCTGGCTCTGTTCTCAAAGATTCATATTAACGTGTCTAACCCTGAGAACGGATAGGTCGGATTACTGCAGCCGACTCTTCGCCTTGCCAGGTTCAGCATCCAGGAAGGTGAGTGAGAGGCCAGAGGACACCCAGACAATCTCCTGCACACCAGAGGTCCTCCCAGCACGAGCAGAATGGTGACTTCTAGGGCTAACATCTAGCTGTTCTGAAGCTTCACTGTGCTTGTGGAAGACAATCGGAACCCTCTCCAGCTTCAACTCAGCCAAACCATTCTTCCATCACATCTGACTCGAACTCTCTCCTCCCTCCCAAACCTCTCATCCTGAGCCCATCCATTTACGACACCATTCTTGGGCTTCAAGAGGAGGGTCCTTCTCTAACGTGGAGCTAACACATTCATGCCGCGCACACTATGAAGGTTCCCGTCGGCTGGGTGCTTCACAGCACACAGCAGTCACCTCTGCCTGGTCGAGCCTATCAGGCGTGCGATGTCAGCTCAATGTGGAATCTGGATCACTACTGGCATGGATGGAAGTCAGGGCAAATGTAGCCACCCATTGTACACATGCAGGCCATGAGCCAGGCTCGGAGCCGGGGTCCAGGATGAGGACAGAGCCCACAATGGGCAGCTGAAGATAGCTCGCCAGCCTGGTGAACGACAGGTTCTGCATCTAGACAGGGAGCGTGGGACCTTGGGAAAGGTTGTAAAGCATGAATTTTATACAAAGCAAATCGTGTATCCCCAGAAGCCCCAGGACCCAGAATTGACTGGCTCCTTAAGGAGGCCCATCTGGTGGTGAAGGGAGGTCCAGGCCACTGGCCTCAAACACTCCCCACCACCCCATACTCCAGCCTCAATCCAAATGCCCATGGGATGAGCCTCGCTAGCTGGCATGTTTCTGGGGACCTTGGTTTTCATCTTTTTCTTGTCCTTTCCACACACCTCAGATGAAAAGGCAGTTCTCAGAACACTAGTAACACTTAACACAAATGGGAGGGTCAGTGCGGTCACCAGTCACACAGGATCCAGCCCCACAAAACAGAACAAAAGACAGGAATATATTCCCAGCCTCCTCCCCTTTGATACAGGATCTCCCTAAATCGTCCAGGCTGGGCTTAAACTTTCAATCTCCTGCCCTAGCCTCCCAGGTAGCTCGATTAGAGATGTATGCCACCACACCTAATATTAGTTCTAATGAGAGACAAAAACTTTGTTTGTTTTTGAGACAGGGTCTCACTATGTAATTCAGACTGCCCTGGAACTATGTAGCCACCCAGGCTGGTTTCAAACTTGCAGCAGTGATCCTCCTGCCTCAGCCTCCCAAGTGCTGCATTACAGGTGAGTACTACCATACTCACTTGTTTGCAGGGGTGTGTGTGTATGTGTGTGTGTGTGTGTGTGTGTGTGTGTTTGTGTGTGCATACGCATTTAAAAAAATTTTTTAGAATGTGAATAGAAAGGCACTAGAATTCAGGATTCCTCACAATCTCATTAATGTACACATACATGTGATTTAAAAATGAAAGTTAGTCAACCAATAAATTATAAAGAAAAGAGTTATAAAGAGCAAAAAAATAACAAATACAAAAACTAATCAGGAAACAGAAAAGTGGAACTGATTATTAATCTAAGAACTGGTTCTCAAGAAAACAAAAATTTTAAGAAATGTGACAAAAAAGCAAACTAAACAAATAAAACTAGTAATGAAAAAAGGATCTAACCAAAGATACAATGCACATGCCATGCAGAATGAGTAAGAATGTAAATTACAGAAATTAATTTGAATAAAAATATTCAAATTATCATAAAGCAAGAAATAAAACTTTCAGGAAAATGATCAGTCATGGCCTTATGTCCCTAAGAAGTCTCCATGACCAATAACTTAAAGTAAACTCTCTCCTATATTCAAGAAATAACCAATCCCAGAGCTAATACGAAATGTTCTAGAACACATTAACTCATAGAAAATTATAAATAAATTTTTATGGAGCCAGTTTAACTCATAAAACACAACACAATCCCAAAGAAACCATACTCACCAACGAGAATATTCTAACACAAAATCAAGAGTAAGATTTTATATTACCAAGAACAATTTACTATTAGAAAATATATAAAAAACTAAAACCAAACTGAACATCTAAATTAATCCCTTAAACATGTCAATGAAATTCGACACCTGCTCTTTTAAAAACCACAAATCAAAGAATAATCCATTCACATGATTTAAAATGCCACTCCCCAGCCAGCAAGTAAACAATAAAATTAATGCAGAAAAAGTACAAACTCTAAGTAGAATGAGGAATGAGAGGAAACCATCAGCAAAGCATGACTTATAGGATGAGCCACAAAGGAAACCGAGAGCAATTACAGCAGGATGAAATCGATGGCGAGGGAAAGCCTCATTCATATCAGCAACGTTGCAATCGAGCTACAAATAGAGGAAGAAAAACAAAAATTAAAAGTACCTGAAACTAACACTAGCCCAAAATGTCACATCCTAAAAATGAGGGAATAAGTTATAAAAGAATAATTTTTAAAGTTAAGAAGCAAATGCTTTAGATGTAAATGAAATAGATTAATAATAAAAGTATTTTAAAAAAATAATAATTACAAATGTATTTTAAAGATTCTAGTGCTACAATTAGTCATTCTTTACACAGGTATATTATAAAGTCAGTCTGTAATACCAAAAATGCAGCCATATGATAAAATGTAATATAGTCATTAGATAATTATGCACACTTACTTAGATCAACGGGCAAGGAAAAATGTCCACCAAAAATCATTTAAGGGGGAAAAAAAGGTATGAAAGAGATCAGTATATCACAAGGTGTATGAAGTAAAGACCAAGCTATACAGTGAGGAGCTTCCTATCTCTGAAGGTGCAATCACATGATTTTATGCCCATAGATCTCTTGCACAAAGTACTATGTAATGTCAGGGCTCAGGATGTAGCTCAGTGGTAGAAAACTTGCCTACCATGTGCAAGGTCCTAGGCTCCATCCTCAGACTGAAAACAAGAAAATACAAAGCTTTTATAAATTTGGACAAGAAAAAGCTTTAATGTAATAAGTAAAAGAAGGTCAACCAATTCAGGACCCTTCCTATCTCTCAGAAGCTATTCCTGTTCCCCAACAAATAAGAAAAGCAAGAAAGAGAGGGAGAGGAGGAGGGGGGGGGGG